TTAGCCCTTCAGTGTGTAAAGGACATGGTGAAACATTAAGGAATATAAATGAGGTGAGCTTTGCCATCCTTAGTCGTGGAGCATTTCAGAATTAATGAATGTCATGCAGATTTCAAACTCTCAGACTTCAGAACTGCTATTTTATATATCTATTTTTATATATGTGTATATACATACATATATGTTTTTTACTTGTTTGGAAAGGTGAAAATTGTTTATTACTGAAACACTTTTTATCCCACTTATCTTTTATAAGCTTTTCATGCCACGTAGCCTCTGGATTAAGTATTTATTACAGGAACTTTACAAAGAGATCATCATACCCAGTACCTTCGTTTCATGCTGAAGACACATGGAGAGGCTGAGCGAGGTGGCAGATAACAGACTCCCTCCCTGTCCTGTTCCTTGTTGTCTTTTCCTCGCCCTGTCACTTTTTAAGTATCTGGAGATAAATTGTATGTATTAACAATATTGAAGTCTCTAAATTAAAAGTGCCTTTCAGGTTTTTTAATTATAAGAAGCAGCAGGGATCACAAAATACATGTAGAAAACAAAAAGTCAAACAGAGGCACACCTTGGGCCGCCAAAGCACAATACGGCATGAAGAGTGTTTTTTGTTCCTGTCTTTATTCAGCAGATATTCACTGCATCCTTTTCTTTGCTATATGATGGGGATGCAAAGAAGAAAAAACTCTTTATACTCTGGAAGAACATGTCGTCTAGAAGACAGATTTAGCAGTCAAATAATTGTGGTTTGTCCCAATCGTAGTATGACAGAACACTATGGGAACCTTTAAAAAAAAAAATGTTCATTTCCTTAAAAGCCTCAGGAAAGGGAAGGCCTCACAGAAGAGTTTATTTTGCAGCTGTGTTTTAAAGGCAGAGAAAGTTTTCTAGGTAGAAGAGGGTAGTTTTAGTAGTTTTCTATTGCTGCTGTAACAAAGGACCATAAACTTTGCTTTAAAACAACCCAGTTCATTATCTTCCAGTTTTATAGCTCAGCTGGCAAGTCCAAGGGCTCTCACTGGCCTAACCCTGAGATGTAGCAGAGTCGTATTCCTTTCCAGAGGCTCTAGGGGGAGTCGTATTCCTTGCTAGAGGCTCGAGGGGGATTCTGATCCCGTTGTGCCTCAGCTTTACACGCTGCCTGCACTCCTCAGCTCGTGGCTCCCTTTCTCTACCTTCAAAGCCAGCAGGTTAAAGCTCTCTGTGACATGGTTTCAGGAGTCACATCTCTCTTTCTGCATCCAGTAAAGGCGCTCTTGCTTTTAAGGATCATGTGATTACATTGGGCCCACCAGCATAATTTAGGATAATCTCATGTTTTGGGGTCCATAACCTTACTCAGATCTGTCAAGTCCCTTTACAGTGTAAGGAAACATATTCACAGGTTCTCGGGATAAGGGTGTGAACATCTTTGGGTGCCATTATTCTGCCTACCACACTGGTTTATTAGAAGCGGAGAGAGGAGGACAATTTGTAAAGCCATGTAAAGCCATGGAATCATAGGTGTTCGTACTATATTCAGTCCTCCATTCAGTCCTCCGGTGGTTTGCCCTCTTTGTTTTTCTTAACTGTTGTTTTTTGTTTTACTGTCATTGTTTGTATATTGTCCTTTTCATTATCAGATCCTCACACGTTTTCTCTTTGTACAGTGATAGTGTTTTACTCTTTTCTGCCTCTTTGTGAATCTCCGGTCTCCTTTTCGGTTGTTTGTTTTCCTGTAATTTTTCTGCACCTCTCCCAACTCTGTTGGGTCACATCCTCTTCATTCTAGGTGTTCTGTTCTCATTACCCTTTGAGAGCAGCCATGGTTCTTTGCATCATATTGGGGATGCCAGATGATGTTCTCAATTTTATCCTGGTTTTGGTAGAAAATTGTATCAAGATTAGTCCTTTCTTGGAACTTCAGGATCTTTTTTTCCCCGGTTGTGTTTCTTTAATAGACTTATTTGCTTATTTTTGAAAGAGAGGAGTGCTCTCCATATTTGGGAGTGTGCTCACAGTGTGGTAGTTGGGGGTTGATCGCCCATGTTCTGTTTGTTTACTACACACTTTACAACTGCAGCTGGATAGTAAGCTGGTAGAGCAGCTCTCCACCTAGATCCCAGGGTCTGGCACGTTTTGTTCTGTTGGACTGAAATAGGGTCCTTTCTAGCACCACTGTCTGCCATTCTGATTCTGAACATCATGGTAGAGTATATGAAAAAGTATAGACCCAATGAATGTATGATTCAGATTCTGCCTGTGTCATCCTTATCTCTCCATCTATCTTCTGTGCTGTAATTGTAGGAAGTTACTATTCCCAGAATATATTAAGCTGCTACAGCCTCCTAATTCTCTTTACATTTTAGATTTTCTACCCAGGCCCCTTCCCATTCCTACCCCTTCAGGAGTTCATCTCCTTGATTTAGAAAAAAGAGGTCTTGTTTTGAGGAAGGATTGGAGGTAGAGATGTGTGGAGAAGCAATAGCACTGTGATTATTGGGGAAAGTGGCCCTTTTGTTTCAGGACAGTGGTTTGGTAGAGATCGCAAGGAGGAATAATAGGTCTTTTCATTTACTTTTGTGTTGGCATAATACAAGTAGCCCTTTTTAATCGATTTCTTTCTGCCTTAGAAATTTCCTCCCAAATTTTGTCAACAGGTTATTCCACTTTTTTTTTTTTTTTTTTGCTCATTTGTTTTTTGGCTTTTTTTTTCCTTGTGAGACAGAGTCTCACTGTGTCACCCTTGGTAGAGTGCCGTGGCGTCACAGCTCACAGCAACCTCAGACTCTTGGGCTTAAGTGATTCTCTTGCCTCAGCTTCCCAAGTAGCTGGGAGTACAGTCACCTGCCGCAACGCCTGGCTGTTTTTGTTGCAGTTGTCATTGTTTAGCTGGCCCGGGCTGGGTTTGAACCCTCCAGCCTTGGTGTATGTGGCTGGTGCTATAACCACTGTACTACAGGCACCAAGCCTTTTATTTTATTTTTTAAGACATGGTTTTACTCTCTCGCCCAGGCCAGACTGGAGTACCATGGTGTTAACATAGCCTTGGGTTCAAGTGATTATCCTGCATCAGTAGCTGGGACTATAGGTGCGAGCCTCTACACCCAGCCTCAATTGTTGTAGTAAAATACATGCAACATAATAATTGCAATCTTAACATTTTTCTTTTTACTTTTCAGATTAGCAAAAGTTTTTAATTGACCTAAAATTACATCAACAAAACATTTTGAGGTCTCTCTCACCTTTTCTCCTTGATGAGAGGGACCACTTCTACCTCTGTTTGAAAGTGCTCTAAAGTTTCTCTGTGTTCTTCCTAAATAAAATCTCTCTTTGTTACCCTGAAAAAACATTTTTTGAAGTATATTACATTGTATAATAGTTAAATCTAGCTAACTAACAAATGTAGTGCCACACCTACTTATCATTTTTGCAGTGAAAACACATTTTTCAAGAATAAGATATATTGTCATTAGCTATAGTCACCAGGCTGTACAGTAGATCTCTCGAACTTATTCCTCCTATCTAACTATAATTCTGTACACTTTGATCAACATTTCCCCATGTCCCTTTTCTCCATAACCATTCCAGCCTCTGTAACCAGCATTCTATTTTCTACTTCTATGAGATCAACTGTTTTAGATTCCACATATGAGTGAGATCATGTGGTATTTTTTTTCCTGTGCTTGGCTTATTTTGCTTAACATGATGTCTACCAGGTTCATCCATCTC